CTTGTGTGTACTGTGCACACTTACTAACTTACTAACACTAAGAGAGCGACGTGACGCAACAAAACTAGAACATTCTATAGTCAACAAACATTGTAAAGGGAAGACGAGTTTTACAAGAATAATTTTAGGGAAAAACAATGACAATGACTTCTTCTGTCATATTCCCTTCATAGTCTTTCAGGCTAGAGAGGCGGATATGAATCTCTTTAGCTGTGGAATGAAACACACTCTCTGGGCTGTTTTGCCATCTTTCTTTCTGTCCGTCCGTTGACTCTCTCTCTCTCTCTCCTACTTGAAGTGGCACCAGACGGCCCTTCGGCCCTTATAAGGTGAAATCAGCGCGCCTGGTAGAGTAAAACAGAACCATATGTCGCTCGCTGACTCCCTCGCGCAGCTCCGCCAAGGGGCTCGGGCTCTGGCGCGGAGCTGCACACAGGAGCCTAACTTCTGCTAATATAAACTGAATAGGTCATATTTATATGGTCATGTTCAGGCTGCACAGTGGGGCTTTATGTTACAGAGAGGGAGGAAACTGCGTTCTGTGTTCATGCACGTACTCATGCGCTGCAGTAACTTTATTTTGACTCTAAAATGAACAGCTCATGTTATTGTGAATATGGATTTGTCATAATACCCCATTTCCATGCACATGCCAGCTGTGAGTCAGGATGTTTTCTGATCTCATGCATGAGGATCTTCTCAATGACGTCATTAGGAACCTCTTTTTAGAAGCATGATGTCATAGTTGGATCTTCCAGTGACTCCTGGGATTGGTCACACAGAAACTCTTTAACACGGGAAGGAATGTTTGATTTAAAGTTTACTGGTGAAAATACAGTAAAATTTTGTTTTATTTTATTTTATTTTATGATTTATTATTTATTTTGTAGAGTATTTTGCCTAAAGAAAATCAAGCCTATTAAGATTTTTTTTTTTGCTATGTGACATTTATTGTCAATAATACCGTTCTTTTCCTTTTTTCACCTTTTTTAAGGTGAAATGTAACTAAAACATGTACTTTGATACATAACATGGAGTTAATAAATGAATAGTTCACCAAAAATGAAAGTTTGTGGAAAATGTACTCCCTCTCAGGGCATCCAAGATGTAGATGAGTTTGTTTCTTCATCGGAATGGATTTGGAGAAACTTAGCATTACATCACTTGCTCACCACCTCTGCAGTGAATGGGTGCCGTCAGAATGAGAGTCCAAACAGCTGATAAACACATCACAATAATTCACAAGTAATCCACGTGACATCAGTTAATATCGTGTGAAGCGAAATTCTGCATATTTGCTGCATATTTCTCTCCTGATTCAGACAAGACGACTTTTTCACTGAAGACAGCAATAGTATAGATAGAGGACTCATATTTTAGCCGGAAGCAACAACTTGAAGTTAAAAAACATCTTGATGGATTTGTTTTTTTTACAAACATGCAGCTTTTCACTTCACAAGACATTAATTGATGGACTGGAGTGGTGTGGATTACTTGTGGATTATTGTGATGTTTTTATCAGCTGTTTGGACTCTCATTCTGACGGCACCCATTCACTGCAGAGCATCCACTGGTGAGCAAGTGATGCAATGCTACATTTCTCCAAATCTGATGGAAAAAAAAAAACCTCATCTACATTTTAGATGACCTGAGGAGGAGTACGTTTTCAGCAAATTTACATTTGTGGGTGATCTATTTCTTTAACATATTTATGGACCATAGTATTTATGTAGTTTATGGTATACATCCTAAAAACATACCATGATACTTTCTGGTTGCTTTTGGTTGGTGGTTACTTGTGAGGCTTTCTTCCAGCTGTAGTTATGAAGCAAGTGTGCATTCAGACAGTTCCCGTCTCTCTGTCCAGAGCTCACAGCAGAACCACAATCTGCTCTTGTCTGTTGAAGTGAATCTGGACGCTAAATCAAGCCTTTTCAAATGCTGCATGGAAAATCTGAGCCACACGTGAGAGCTACTTCATATTCCAGTGGCCGTCCTGCCGTTCGTTTTTTCCAGCAATCAGGCTCACGAACACTGAAGCCCAAGTGGAAATCATCAGCTTCAGGTCTTCCTTCTGCAATCAATAAACCAAAATAAATACATGCAGGAATGACATACAAATAAAGAGAGAAATCTCCAAAGCAAAGATTTAAAGATCAATCCTGGGCGTTTCAATTTCCAGGAGTTTAATACGCGACCTTATTTAACTGCTTGTCCATCACGCTAAAGTTTCTGTGACTATAAGTGCATGAATATTTAAAGAGGCAAGCGCTGTCTAGTTTATGATTGGTTGTTTGTTGCTTTTTTGTGAAACCCTGCAATGTGGGTTAAAAGAAGTGCTAGAAATTCAAATGTGAAACTTCACTTAACGCAATATTAAAATGGTCTTAACTTGAGGTTAAAAATATAGTGTGAAATCCCTTAAAACTATAAGCTGCAGAAACAGCTTGTACAGAATTGATTTAGCATCTTAGCAATGGCATTATCATTTATTTTGCATGCAATAAAAAGCCCTTAGTTTAAATCAATAATTATATACACAATCTATTTTTAAGTATTTGTTATAAAAATGTATACAATTAATGATTTGATATTTTATTCTATTTTTATGTGCATTTAACAGACACTTTTATCCTTATTTATTTATGTATTTATTTTAAAACAGTTTTTTATTTTTTTTCAAATCCAACGCTGGTCCCATGATTATTCTACCTTTTAGGCTAAAGGTATTCCATTATTTTTATTATTTATTTGTTTATAGTTTTTTCTGTCAAAAACAGAACAATGACATGCTTAGACAATCAAATCCTGATGAAAATGAATCCCTTTATTTAATGATTTTTACATAATGTTATTAATATATTTATTGTAAAAAAAATTTTTGTTATTTTTGTATGCATTTGACAGCCAATTTTATCTAAAGCAACCTGAATTCACGTTTTTTTAAATTTTATTTTATTTTATTTTATTTTATTTTATTTTGACCGAACGAACGAACGAATATCCTAGGCATCAAACCTACGACCTTGGTGTTTTAGTGTTTGGTGTACATAAAATAACTTATTATTATAATTTATTTATTTATTTATTTTTTTTACTTATAGAAGTTGTTGCTGTCAGAAACAGGACTACGGCAGCAACAACTTACACAATCAACTTTGCATCCTGACCAGGATAAACTCAGACAGATTTTCAGATTTGTTGCCATAGTTGCACACACTTGCACACACACACACACAGAGCAGGACGTGTTATGTAACGTGATGATGTGTAAGAACGCCTCCTATTAGTGAGGAACTGACACAGTAATGACTTTAGCAGAGGCTTTTCAACAGCATCGACGGTCAGTCGAGTAAAACTCCTCTTACACAGTCTGTCTGGAATGGACAGATGTTTTCTTCTGGGAACAGAGTTCACACACACACACACAGTAGTGCAGATTGCATTGTTGGTTTAATTGATTGGTGTGTTAATGGGAAAGACTGATGCTGATTGATCTATTATCTTGATTTTGTTTGTACTTTGCATCATGGGTGATGAAAGAAGAACTTGAGTCTAAGAAAAAAATGTGGGTTTAATAATTATTTCTTTATAGAATACATATGTAATAATATATGCACTGTTCAAAAGTTTGGTAAATAATGTTTCTGAAAGAAATTAATACTTTTATTCAGTAAGGATGCATTAAATTGATCAAAAGTGACAGTAAAGACATTCATATTGTTACAAAAGAAATCAATGCTGTTCTTTTGAACATTCTATTCATCAAAGAATCCTGAAAAAAGTCACAGTTTCCACAAAAATATGAAGCAGCACAACTGTTTTCATCAACATGAATTATTATAAAAGATTTCAGAGCACAAATCAGCATATTAGAATGATTTCTGAAGGATCGTGTGACACTGAAGACTGGAGTAATGATGCTGAAAATTCCATTTGAATATATATTCAAAAACAGTTATTTTAAATTGTAATATTACTTCAGAATATTACAGATTTTACTGTATTTTGATTGAATAAACAGCTTTGATGAGTATAAAAGACAAAAACGTTTTTACTTGTTTGGGGTTGCGATATATGGTTCTTTTTAGATTAAATATGTTCTTGATATTTTCTTTGTGGTTCTTCAGATTAGAAAATTGCTTTCTGGTTCCTTAAATAAGCAGGAAATAGTAGAAATAATATTGCAAATGAAAAAAGGACAGTGGGTAATGTCCACTTTCGGTGCTTGGTTTACCCAAAATGCAATTACTGTCATCATTTATTCATGTTGTCCAAAATGTCTATGGCTTTCTTTCTTTCTACGCCAATGTACAGTAATTTACATTTTCATTGTGTGCCATATTTGAGAGCTACGGCAGAGGAGAAGATCGAGGAAGTCTGTTCCTCACAAAAAAATCCACTGAATGATGCTTGTAATGTTGTACACCGTCACAAGCTACTTGTTGTAACACCCCTGTGGACTGGTTGTTGTGGTTTCTTCCCCTTGTGTTGGTTTAGACCGTATAATCATTAGTTAATTACCCTCATTGTGTTCACCTGTCTGCCCCTCGTTATCTGCCCTATAAGTTCCTGTCTCTTGTAATCTAGTATTGTCGGTTATTGTGAATGTTACCCTGAGTGTGTGTGTGTGTGTTGCATCGTCCACAGACCTGTTTGCTCTGTAGGCAAACTGAAGAGGATCCAGTAAGGGTCCAGTAATGTCCTTCAGGTGGGCCAGCACCAGTTATTCAAAAGACTTCATGACCACAGACGTTAGAGCCACAGGCCTGTAGTCATTAAGTCCTGTAATTTTGGATTTCATGGGAAAGTATGGAAAAGAGCAGCATGAACATTCGGCTAAACATCTCCTTTTGTGTTCCACAGAAGAAAGTCAGTCATATGGGTTTAAAACGGCTAACTTCTTCTCAGTCTTCCCTCATGAACAGCTTTCTGCAGCGGTTATCTCGAGTCTGAGTGTGTGTGAATCTCTAAGCGTCTCTTTCTGGCTTCTGTTGCAGAGATCTGTCAAGAAACCACATTCCCTCAGTGGATTCCAGCCTCTTTGATCACCTCACCGCCCTCAAGGAGCTGTAAGTGCCACGTCTCTCGAGCGTGTGTGTGTTGTCTGTGTCTGTGTGTGTGTGTGTGTGCTGGAGACGCAGTCATTCATGTACGTCTGTAATGGGTGGTCTGGTGTAAACGTGAGTGTGTGTTTCTTTGTGCTAAAGCAAAAGCCTACTCGTTTCCTAATCTGCAACTTCCTGTTCACTTTTTCCCCCTCAGCTATCAGGTATAGATTAATTATATTTTCCACAATAAAAATAAAGCCTCCTTTTAGAATCTTGAAATTGTTTTCAGCCCATTTTCTCTCCAGATTATCATTACTGGAATGCAGTTAAATACTACCATAATTACAGTTATGATTTGCTATTTAAATAATATATCATGACATCTTTTAGTGCAGTAGACTATTTTATTTTAATATGAGTAATATGAAATAATATATAATGACATCTTTTATTACAGTAGGCTATTTGATTTTAATTAGTTTAATAGCTGGAAAATATTTAAATTAAGTTAATCTAAGTTTAATTATATTAAAATAATCTTAATTAAATGCTAAAAGACCAAGTCTATATGTGAAATACATTCTGTATTATTAATAATAAAATATTTTATTATGAGTAACTGAATAAAAAATAATATTTAATCATGTATTATGACATCTATTATATCAGTAGAAGTTTTATTTTAATGGCTTTAAAGATTGGGAAAAATGTTTCAATTGTTATATTTAAATTAAGTTGTCAAGTTATCAATCAAGTTGTTTTTATTATTTATGTATTATTATTAATAAAGTATTTTATTTTATTTTATTATGAACAGCTGAATAAATTAAACAATATCAAATAATATATTGTGACATCTTTCATTGCAGTAGACATTTTTATTCTCATGACTGGAAAATATTTATTATAGTAGGATAAATTATAGTTATAATAAAACAAACAATTAAAATGCTAAAAAATGTGAAATTATTATTATCATTATTGTTGTTGTTGTATTTGTTGTTATTATTATTTTCTTTATGAGTTCTTATATATATATATATATATATATATATACACACACACACATTCATTATATATTTTGAAAATATTTACATGTATATACATTTATATATTTATATTATTATATTTTATATTATATA